TTAAATATATTTATTTTTTATTAGGATTGTCTACAAACATTTATCTTTTGTACAAATAGGTCAAAATCACTCTTATCCCTTAAAGTTCAGAATGAGTGATTGTAAGAGTGTCATTGAATAGACCCAAAGTTCCAAAAAAATCAATTTGACATCTAATGAGATGGAATTGTTATGATCTTATTGTACAAAAGATAAATGGTATCTTTTTAGACAAGTCCCTTATTTATTAGTCAATTCTCTTCGCCAGATTGCCGATCTTGATTGGGGATTCAATGTCTAAACAAATTTCCCGAATGGCCAGTTCACACGACTCATCCAGGTTTTAATGCATTAGTTCTAACAAAAAAAAAAAAACTATCACATGTACAAGCATATAGCTATAGTATGTACTGAGCTCCAAAATGCATTGTTAGAATGATTATTTTCACTCAAATATGAATATCTTTAACTTAAGAATATTAAAGATTGATTTAAGATGTTTGGGGTTTTTAAAGGCCTAGATGCACCATGTACCAATCAGATGACATACATAAAAAATAGTAGACTCATTTTCTTCTTTTCATCTAGGCGAAATCAAAATTTTATTTTATTTCAATCGCGAAGAAGAGAACTATGCTGCACAAAACTTAAAAGAGGCCAAAAGATGTCTACCTTTAAAAGAGGCTAACCCTGAAGTATAGGGCAAGTCAATGTAATAGTATTCCTTGCACTCCAAATGTAAGAACGTTATTTAATATGAAGAAAGTTTATCCTATACACATGGAAATAGTCCCCGAAAATCCCTCACTTGCAGAATTAGAAACTTCCAATATCGGGGTCTCATCCAAGATTACATATATGGTTGGTTGGATGTGAAGTAGGTGAAGACAACAAACACGAGAAATAAAATAAACATAAAAATCACACTACAATTACTCAAAGATGTACATGGCTCACCCCAAAAAGATAGAGTCCACATGCTTAGCAAGTAAAAAAATTACAATATCAATGATTATTATAGATTTTGGTTACATATGGTGCGCCTCCCTTTAACCATCTACAAAAGTATCATCAATCTTCTTTTCGAAACCGGCTCCCCCAACCAATCTTTCCCACGATTACGCTATTACCAAGAGAGAAAATGAGAGCAATTAAGAAGAGTCTTTGCTTATCTAAAAGAGGCAATCAAACCCAAAATCTCGTGTGAACACCGCCTCTTTACGAGATCAATGTATCACCCTTGGAGATATGGAGATCCCTTTCCATGACCCTAAAGGGTTGATTATTAAAATCATGTTGTATGTCTTCCTTGAACCCTTATTTTTTTAAATGGAAAAAATCATATAAAGTGTCTACCTTATATTGTGCGAAAACAATTCACTTAAAAAATCCGTTAAAAATAAGTGTTTTAATGTTAGAAAACCCTCAAATTAATCATCTCAATATATATAGTTATGAAAAAAAAAAAAACAAATATTTCAAGTTTTAAAAATAGTACATCTTGTAACAAGTTATCTAGACAGCCTATTATTAAGATTTTCAAGAGTTCATAGATTTGCTTGATATGCACCATATTTACAATTCAAGTTTTATTAGGGGTGAAAATGAATTTTAAGCTATTATAAAATTATAGACATCGAAGCAACATTTTTTTTACTCTAATACTCTCACATCTTTCAAAAAAAATATGGATGGATTAATTTTGACTAACACCAAATCGGACACTAGCACCTACCAAAACCAAAAGGGGTAATAACAAGCAACCAATATTTAACACTTACTATTTGCTTTACGTGACCAGTTACAAAGCAACCTTTTTTATTCGAAGCACATACGCACCATTTGTTTTACATTTACAAAGACGAGCATGTATACTGTGCTCCCGTGGTGCAAACTCTAGATCTACTCCCTCACCCAAAACAAACACCTATTTAGGAAGATTTTTTTGGCAAAAAATTTTGACAACCACATAAGAAATACTAGATGATTATTTCAAAATAAAAAATTTGAATTTTGAGTTATGTGATATTTAGATCTAGCCCTTCAAAATTTGAACAGTCTCTATTCAATCTTGAGGCATTAAATTTTTTTAAGGTACACAGAGTTTATTTCAGATTTCTTTTTCAACTGAAATTAATCTATGGGTTAAAGAGATTACACAAAAATTTGAGGTCTAAAGGTATCCACAACATAGGTTTTGTCTCAGGGAGTAAATGAATATCATACTCCCGCACTTTTGGCCACATTAAAAAAATCAACAAAACCAATGTTGTGGCATAGGAAGAACCATACCCATCATAATTACAAGCTTTGGATCATCCTAAAAATACAAATTTGAAATTTGTAGTCTATTTGAATGACGACTGGGCTGACGGCTTTGAGCAATAATGCACATTATGTTAGGTCAAGAAAAATATTAAAATAAGCCAAAAGTTTAGTTATAAAATCCTCAACTCCATTAAGAGTCTCATTCGCCATTTTTGTGTTATTCCCCAAAGCCAAAGGCATATGCTTTGGCATAAGAATGAACCTAGGCAACTTCTTAATCTTATTTGAACTCATTATTAGTGAGAAAAAAAACAAAGGCAAGTGTAATGGAACCAATTTCCAAGTGGCATGTACACACATATTTATAGTTTATTAGAGTGACCATTTACTAAAGACAGTGTATTTGTATCTATTTGTATCTCGCACTCTAAAAAGCTAAGCACCATCCTTTAATGCCACTTAAAACCCTTGCGTTTTCTTTATTTAATACTATATTTATGATAATAAAACAATATAAAAACTACTCGGTTGTTAAATGAGAATAAATCATTATGCTTAAAACTCTTATACCAAATTGACCCCATCTCACTTAATCTTGTTTAATATTTTAAAACCCTCTAATTTTTTAGCTTGATCACCGATCAGGATGGCATTCGATTGGGACCAAACAGTTTCAGGATAGTATGGGTCCCCTTGAAATCCTTTATATAAATTTTTTTAAAAAACTTATCTAATATTTTCTTTAGTCCCAACTAAATCCCCACCTTTTATTTTATTTATTTTAAAAAGATTAATCCAATTCCAATCAATCTAGATCACTGAGCCAACAATCCACCCCACTAATACGGATTTATAACACCGATCCTATTTTAAGTAAGCAATGAGAAAAGACCTACAAGCCAACTTGTGCGAGTCCACCTGGACCAAGTGGAGTATAAAACCATTAAAAACAAGTTCCATTGATTGAAAACCAATACTTCGGGGATGCCTTTCAAGTTTCTTGGCCTTGGTTAGGCATTTTAAACTCTTTAAATTTTGTTTACATTTTTTTATTTTTGCTTCTCTCCTTTTTGCTTTGGAAGAGTCAGCCAAGCCGCCGACTCAATCGATTGTTTGATCGACCCGAATAAGAGACCAATAAATATTCAGTATAAACTCGGCCAACAGATTATCAAAAATGGAATATAATTAAATCAAAATGTACTATTTCAAAACTTAAAAACGAAGAAAACCAGGGGTGATCAAAACAAGCCTTAGAAAAAAAAAATTACACCTTGATGACGAATGACCAGGACAATGTATCGAGAGGAATTCAATAAAGAGCTGCATTCAATGAGGATCAGATAAAAACCATGATAAAATTAGGGGAAAGTATAGAACGAGACTATTCAATCTTGACCATTGGATGGCTATAATTATTCTATTGACGAAGTTCAAATTTTAAAAAAAATTGTTTCGAATTTTGTGACACATCCAAGCAATCAAACTTCACATTGGATTATTGGGGGTAATTATGACCACTTTGTATTAAAAGTAAATGATATCATTGTATATAATCTCATAATCCAATTTTTGATTGCATGCATCGATTACATCGCATTTTCTTCATTTCTCATTACATTTCTGCAGCTATCTACCAAGGCAGTGCAAATATAAAATTGTGGAAAAAATTTATACAAGTCTGAAGCCCTAAACAATCAATTTAAAGCGTACCTCAAAAATTTCACTAAAAGAGGTTTTAATGTCCAAATATCTTCAAATCGGTTATCTCGACCTCAAAATATATGAACATCAAGATACATCTCGACCTCAAGATACATGAACATCAAGATACATCTCGACCTCAAGATACATGATACATGAAACATCACGATACATCTCGACCTCAAGATACATGAAACATCAAGATACATCTCGACCTCAAGATACATAAACATCAAGATGCAAGATGCATGGACATGAGTAAAAAATTGATATCAAGTTTTGAAAATAGTGATTTCAAGTATTGAAAATAGTGCATTTTATAATACATAGACATGAGTAAAAAATAGATTTCAAGTTTTAAAAATAGTGATTTCAAATTTTGAAAATAGTGCATCTTATAATGCATTGTTGGATTTTAAAATTTTCATAGTCCGCCCAACCTACACTTATTTTTTAAATTCTAAATTTTAAATTTTATAATTAGAGATTTGAAAATATATTTTAGGACGAAGATTTTCCAGTATTGAAACCATTTTAACCACATTTCTCGACACTATTGAAACCACATTTCTCTGAAGGTATTTGAAGGTAATCTGATTGTCTAGAGCCTTGGCTCTATAATACAATCACACCCTTATAAAAAATGAAATATAATTAAATTAAAATGTAATATTTCCAATACTAAAAAACGATTGGTGATCAAACCAAGCCTCAGGAAAAAAAAATTTACACCTTAATGGTGAATAACCAGGACAATGTATTGAGAGGAATTCAGTAAAGAGTTGCATTCAATAAAGATCAGACAAAAACCATGATAAAACTAGTTCAATCGTTTGATTGAATGCATCCATTACATCACATTTCTTAGTTTTTAATTACATTTCTTCACTTTCGACTTAGGCATGCAAATATAAAATCATATACCAAACAAACTGATATAAAAATATCGCATCATGCACCACCCAAAAAACCGGCACACAGATAATGAGAAAACTAAATTGCATACTAATATTACCACAAAAAATGGCCATAAAAAAAATAGAAGAAACTTGCGTACTCAAAAAACATAAGGTTAAATATGTTTGCAATACATTTGGATTGAAAATCCCTCTTACACAACCAGGACTGGAACACAAAACCCAATTCTTAGCCACCATTAACAACTCTCAACAGTTTCATTTACAGATAAAACTCTAAACACATCCACAGCCACTTATAGAACCAAAGAGATATCTAAACTGAAGACGCGGAAACAGAAAGAGAAAGAAGCTAAGGTCATGGAGCTCATAACACTCAATACTGAAACATATCAGCAGAAGCCATGATGGGTTGCGAAGGACATGGGAGCTGCCATGGTTTAAGAAGTGGGTCTGGAATTTCAGGGATATCCATGACCAACCCACTCATCTCCTCCATGAAATGAAGCACCGAGTTCAAAGATTGAAGCTTTTGCGTCAACGCCAAAACCTCATCTCTTAAAGCATGGTTCTCAGTCTCAATTTTGATATAATGCTGTGTAGTGAGATCAACCCTGGTTAAAATCTGACTGTTTTCATTTCTAATATGGGCCATTTGGTTAATGAGATCATCCAAATGCTTCTGTTTCCTCATTCTCGATCGTCTTGCCGACTCCCTGTTCGATAACATCCTCTTTTGTTTTCTTTTATCAACAATTTGATGGTCCTCTTCAGCACCAGAGGGACCACTAGGGGAATTTGCGGTGGCCTTGAACACAAATGGTTGAGATGCCATTTATTTACCGCTAATGAATACTTGGGTATTGTTTTCCTTTATCAAAATTGGAATCTTGGGGTGTTGTGGAACAGAGAAAAATTGGGTTTCAGAGAGAAAAATATGGGTTTATTTGCCTGTCAAGAGTGATTCTTAGAGAATAAGAAAGTCAATATTTTATGAGAGAATCAAATGGAAAAAGTAATCAAATACAGGTACTGATCTTCATGAAAACTCATGAAACCAATAGAGGAAGACAACAGAGAATGACTGGACCTGGTGGAGTAAACTTTCAAGGGTTGAGAATACCATACGGTCTAGAGTTATAGTTAGCTCAAGTGTTGTTTAAGGTTCATCAAGAGAACTGCTCTGCAATGGAAACCAAGCTCAAGACCATAAAAAACATGAGAAAACCCTATCGACGAATCAAGCGAATGAGAATAATCACAAAAGGAAATCTGGATCTAGCAAAACACCAATGACTCGAAATCAATATCACAGAAACAATCAGATCTGGATCTGATAACCCTGATTTCCTAACAAGAATGGGAAATATCACCAAAATAACAAGATAACGAACTTGGGTTTTCTTCGAGAGTAAATGAAAACCCACCACAAAATAAATCAGAACCAAACAAGATAATCAAAGAAAAAGAATGAGAGAGAACTTAAGAATCTCTCTCTTCGAAGAACCCACCAAACAGATCTCAAAAAAAAAGAAGAAAAAAAACTGATAAATTAATCAATGAGAAGCTGAGATGAAGAGACTCGAGATCCACCACAAACCCACGCAATAAATCACACGAAAATACTGAAAATCAACAAGAAAGATGAAGAAAGAGAAACTAAGCCTGATGAGGGAGGAAAACAGTAGACCGGGCTTCTAGATAGAGGAAACCTTATGGAAAGGGACAACGATGAAGAAAATGGGAAGGTTGGCGAAGATGAAAACTACGGGTTTTATAGAGAGAGAAAGTGGAGAGGGGGGAAGGTGCCGGGAAGGTAGGTGAGGGTTTTAGAGAGAGATAGAGACACCAGCGGTGCAGAAATCGTGCCAAACTGTCAAATGCATACAGCTGGTATGTACCAAAAAACTTTATTAAATTGGTACCCATCTTAAATTACTACAATGTCCCTTCGTCTAGCTTTATCCAGAATGCCATTTTGCTTATAAATTAACGAAAATGCCACTTGCTAGTTCGCCTGTATTTTCCGTCTCTTTCCTACTTGGTTATGTTATGTTATGTTTCCGCGAGAGTATATTGTATATTTTATCGAGCGAATGATATGAGGATTTTTTGCTTGAAATTTTAGGATAAATTTTTGATTAAGAAGTTTTTAAAAACTTAGATCTCGTTATCATTATTAGAGTCTTTTCTTAACTATTGAGTCGGTTACAAGAATCAATGCTATTATGTTCTATCTTTTCAAGACTTAGATCCAAGTCTAAAAAATTTGATGGTATCTTATTAAATATTGGAATATTATTTTCTTAAACATATGCATGCTTTGAAATAAGAAAAAGTTTATAAAAAGTTGACAACTTCTATTTATTGGAAAACGATCTAATCAATCATCTCGAAATCGAAATGTATGGATATAAAAATAAATACAAAATTAAATCTAAAAAATAGTACATCTTGCAACACATTATCTAGACCGTCCATTTTCAAGATTCTCATACATTTATAAATATTATTGATTTGAACTATTTTTTTAATTTAAAATTTTATAATTAAAAATAAAAATAGATTCTCAAGCAATTCTAAAAATATTCGGCATTAAAATTACATCCTATGACAAAATTTGGAGGTGCGCCTTACCTTGATTGTTTAAGTGCAAACCTCACCTTTAGAAACAATTACGTTAATAGTTTGATAATTCTTGATCCGGTTTTAAAACGAGGGATGGAGTAAACGAAAAAGGAAAAAGTTTATACAAGGTTGCAACCTTAAAATGTAGAACTACCGATGGCCCTAAAAAATCCATCGAAATAGGTTATTTGAATGTTGAAAAACTATGTGATTGATCATCACGACATCGGAATGTATAATTATGAAAAATAAAAAGATTTTGAGTATCATAAATAGTGCATCTTACAAACTATTTTCTACACCATTTTTGAGGTCCAAAAATACATTATAAAATTCACTATTTACAAAACTTGAAATCTTTTTTTTCTTGTTCTCATATCTATGCATCTTGATGTCTAGATGATCAATTTGAGCATCAAAATAATATCTTCCAATAAAAATTTTGAGGTGGGATCTAATTTGATTGTTTAGAACCTCGGCTCTAGATAAACTTTTTCCATGAAAAAATATTCCCCCGAGGCAGCATAAAATATTTGAACTTCTTAGTCATTCATAGATGAGTACCCAAGGTCATAGTAAGGTATTCATTAGAAAGCAGGGGTATTGATAGTCAATCCACCGAAAAACCGAACCGACGATAGGCAATCGAATTAGAAAGCGTCCACTTTGTAATTATACGCGGAATTTCATTACGTGTACGGCGAGATTTACTGTTACCTGAATGTGTCCTCCTTCACTTTAAAAATATTTAAATGCGCTTTGGATCACCTCCATACTCCATCATAGCTTTTTTTGTTTTTTAAAATTGTGCAGTTTCTACCACGAAGCAACCCTAAACAATCCAATTAAGGCGTATTTTAAAATTTTATCATGTAATTTTATTATTAAAAATTATTAATATTATTTTAAAATCTATTTTTATATCTAATTAAAAAAATTTAAATTTAAAAAATAATTAAAATCAAGTAAATCTATAAATATATGAAAATCTTGAAAATATATAATCTAAATAATGTATTGCAATATGCACTATTTCATATTCATACATCTTAATGTCGAGATGTATGAATAGAGGGTTTATTCAAGGTGCATATGTGATTCTACATTTTAAGATGCAACCTTATATAAACTTTTCCCTTTTTAAAATTTTGAACCCCCTTTAAAAAAGATGAAAGATGTGTGTTGAAACCTTTGTTGGGATGGGTAAATTTACTATTTTTAATTTCACCCATTTAAATTTCTAATGCAAGTTTCAAGAAAGTGGGTATATTGCCCTTTCATCAATTTAGATCGATGGATCGGTGATCATACAATAAATTTTAAAAATTAGATATTTCTAATGATTTTAGATATTCTAAACAAAAAAACATAGATAGAATTAGTTTCATGTGTAAGTTAAATGGGTGTGGTTTATATAAGGTTGCAACTTTAAACAATAAGGTGCACCTTCAAACTTTATCATGAGATGCAATTTTGATATTGATAACTTTAGAATTGTGATAGAATTTATTTTTATTTCTAATTATAAAATTTTAAATTCTAAAAATAGTTCAATCAAGCGGATCTATAAATGCATGAAAATTTTAAAATTAGACAATCTAGATAATGTGAAGTAAGATGTATTATTTTTAGAATTAAAAATCTCCTTCTTTTTTGTATATATATATATATAGTTGATCAAAACAACCTTTTTCTAAAAAATTTAGAGATGCACCTTAATTCTACATTTTAAAATCTCAATCTTACGATCCGAATCCTTTGAGGACCCTACTTGGCGACTTTGGATTCTAGATCACTAAGAGACAATATGCATATAATTTCTGTTAATGATTGAGAGGAATTTGGCTGTTATATGACGGCTCATAAAAGATGAATTCATAGGTAAGTTCTACAATGATCAAGAGAGAGATTCTCACCGGGGCGGGTGGGCCTTGAATAAGTAAGTGTTAGAACACCAAATGTAGCCTGAGGGCCCAGGTAAGGTCAAGGCTTGGCTCGATTTCATCTGGCCCGGGCCTGGCTTATTTTTTTCTTCTATTATTTATTTATTTGTTTTCGGCTCATCCCAGCTAAACTTGGGCCAGCCCTAAAAGAACAGGTCGGGCCGGCCCGTTTCCACCCTTTCTGAGAATCAAACATTAGGGGCATTGCCTTGTTCTCATGAATTAAATTTGATTCTAATTGTGATTTGTAGTCGCCTACTGATTGGCGCTTAGGGCGGCTCATATGGGAATATATCGTCAAAAGCCACGTTGTTTTTCTTTTCCTTTTGTTTTTATCATTGTCAGACTCCAAGTATTTTTTGTTGCATTGCACGTTGCAAAGTTGGGGCTCTCAAAGTATTTCACTTTCTAAAGGAAGGTTGTTTTATTAATAATTGGTTTCTAAACTGAATGTTAAGGTGGTGTATAAAATATTAGGTGTGGTTTTGCATGTGGTTAAGACCCTAAACAACAACCAAGGTGTACATCTAAATATTGTTAAAAGATGACTTTTAGTAGCCGTTTCAAAAAAAAAATTCCGTTTCAAAAAAAAAAATATTAAAAATATTTGTGATGACTTGAAAAATTATTCACTTCTAATTATAAAATATTAAAAAGCTTGAAAATGGTGTAGTTCGAGCAAATTTATAAACACTTGAAAAATAGTGAACCCAGATAATACATTACAAGATGCACTATTTTCTCATACTTGAAATCTATTTTTTTTCACGTCTATATATCTCGAGGCTGAGATAATCGATTTGAGGGTTTTTTGACATCGAAAACCCCTTCTAATAATTTTTTAAGGTGTGCCTTAAAAATTATATGGAGACTAGTCTCACGAGTGTATTATCTAATATGAGCGCATTATATATCTACTCCCTAGGTGAAAAAACTATTGAGAAAGATTCTTACGACTTTTAAATTTAAGAGAAAACTTTCATGGAATTTTGGGATTCATGTTAGGATTAAAAGAAGGTAAAAGATATTTTGAGTTTTTAGATAACTAGTGTGGGACATCCAATGGTCATCTAGCCGTTAATGAAATGGAAGCTACTAACAGCAGCCATCAAATGCATGTAACTTGTAGCTGTTTGGTGATGCATATAACTCCACCGCTGCACTAAATTGAGCAAGTGTATGTAACTTGTAGCCGTTGGTAGTGCATGTAACCACAACTACACTAAATTGGCAGCCTCTTTTTGCTCTATAATATGAACCCTCTTACCCATACGAGTTAGACACTAATAACATATTTTTGAGCCTCTCCACCACACATCTTTCTATACAGTTCCAGGGAGTGAAACCAGTGGGCTAATCTCTCTTTCTCTACTATTTTTCTCTCTTTCTCATTCGAAAATATCAAGCCTCCGGTGTCTAGTGTGCGAGTTCAAAGCTCCAGTGCATAGAACTTATGAACATTAAAGAGACTTTTTCTTTTTCTTTTTCTTATATCCTGATGATGAATTGCCCTTATTCTACACATTAAATACAGTATCGAAGGGGGGCAAACATCATCTTGAGATAACGCCCCTGCATGCCCGAAACCAATAAAGGCTTAAAGTTTCGATAATATAAGATTTAAATGTGTAACTCAAAAATCCATCATTAAATATTGTTTGGGTGTTGGAGAACCTTTTAATTGATTATCGCAACGTCAAGATGTATGAGTATGAAAAGGAAAAAAGATTTGGAGTCCATCTTGTAATACATTATCTAAATCGTTCATTTTCAAGATTTTAATGTGTTTATAGATCTACTTGATTTGAACAATTCTTAAAATTTTAAATTTGATTATTAGATATAAAAATGGACTTTCAAGCCAATCTAAAAAAAATTTATATTTATAAAAAAATTTAGAGGTGCGCCTTAATTTGATCACTTATGTAAACTTCTTTTAATACATTTAGGGATAGTGATAAAAGATAAAAGTAGTAACTTTGTGCCTACGTTTAATACATTTATTGATAGTGACTTAACATGTAGCACATGCGGATAGATTAGCCCTAGGACCCACCATACGATAAGGTTGGGCTAATCGTTTTTACCTTGATGAACGCTTCAGAATTGAGATGATGTGAGACAGACAATCCAGACCGTCCAAATGGGATAGGACTACTCTACCTAATCTCTGTTGGTCAAATACAGGGTTCTTCGAAACTTTGTTTTCTTATCACCC